GCTGACCAGAGTCTTGCGGCCAATGTCGACGTCGTCGGAGCCCGTCATGTTGGCGTAAATGTACGCAGTCACGTTGGCGATGCCGGTGGGCCGAACGGCCGAGTAGATGGCGCCAGCATCCTCGCCAGACTGGACAAAGTCGGTTCGAACCGCGGAATAGCCATCAAGGACGTTGACAACGGTGGCATTGGCATCCACCGACGGGATAATCTCCAGATCGACGACCGCCTGGTTGATGTGAAGCTTGTTTGTAAACATCAAGTACCGGATATCGTAGGAGCCATTGTTTCCGGCAGACGGGGACCACGTATACGACCAGCTGAGGACTCCGGCCTTGAAGTCGTACGTGGAGCGAAAGTTGGTAATGGTCTTGTTGTCGACCGTGGAGTCCAGGTAGACGCCGTTGCCGAGGTCGAGCACCAGGCCGCTCCAGTGAGGCACGCCGCTAATGACGCTCTCGTAGCCGTACTGCAGCAGCCAGCCAAAGTTGGTGCCGTTGGTCTCGGGCTGGGCGTTCCAGAAACCGGCAATGGTGGCAAAGGACTGACGCCGGGAGAAGAGCGGCCAGCCGTTGATGACGTCGCCGCCCTCGTCCTCGGCGTCGAGCTCAAAGAAGGGCCCGACGCTGGCCACGCTGATGCCAAAGTAGCCATTGGCAACAGAGCCTCTCGACTGATAACGGCCTTGCTCGAGCGTCGTGGTGCTGAGGAGCCAGTTGTCGTCATCCCAGGTGACGCCGGGAAAGTCCGTCTTGTACACGGTTGTGCGGTTACGGCCTCGGTCCTGGCCGCTGTACCGCGCCAGGCATTTGGCGACGCGGTCTTTGCCATTGGCGGCCTGGACGGCGCTGCAGAGACCGAGGGTCGCGGCGACGACGGCCGCTTGGATGAGCTGCCGCGTTTGTGTCAGTGGGCGAAACACGGTCAATCACATCTTGAAGGGTCTGGTGGACTCACAGTCGCGCGCATGTTGCGAGTCCCGGGCTCGAGGGTCGATTCACTCTACACGAGAAGCAATGGAACAAAGCAATGCCACCGGGAGAACATTCGAGTGCAACAGGCGCTCGGCAGCATTTGTATTCCGCGCGAGCATGCGAGATGTTGTTTATACGGCCCGTCAGCGACTACCAAGTGGACGACATCTGGAGCTACTCGATGGCGAAGCAGCACGGACATTGAGCTTCGCAAGCAGCAAATCTCTAACGGGCCGACTGGTAGCTGTCTTGTGGCTGGAAGAATCCCTGATTTATCCTGGGGAGCAAAGCTCAACCCGGTCCGCGGAGCTCAGCCCCACCATGCTAAACCGCGAGCAAATCTCCATCACGGTGTAGACATGGCTTTTGACCCAACGGCACTCTGCAGGTATCCATTGACGTGCGCCCATCGTCATGATGGTCCGGCTGAATCGAGAGAGACGACCCTGTCTGGGCTGAGCCTCAATCGCCGCGGTTGCTCAACAAGCTGTGCTGGGGTGAAAAAAAAAAAAAAAAAAACCAAGACGAAAAGAAATACAAGGTTGCGAAATATATGGGCGGCCCTCGCTATTCAAGTTGCGCTACGCAGTACATACAATGGGTATACCATCAAGATCATGTCAACTATTTCGCATCAAGCTCACGACGTGCCCATTGCCAATTGGGCATGAGCAGAGTCACCAACACCAGTCGACTCGTCGGCTCTCCAATTTCCCCCCTCTTCATCGCCAACCGTCTCGTCACGGTCCAGTCGTCACTAATCAGAACCATCGGCGACCCCGCCAACCCGCCTCAACGTCATTCCATAATGCGGGGAAAGTATGGAGTATGGGGAATTGACTTTGGCCACATGCAGCTTTAGCCCGTGTGGCTTCCATCCACCAGCAGACTCTGGAAGCTCCCACTGCCGATTCCGGCCTGGAAGCCGTCATGGAATACCCGCCGGCGCATTGATGGCAGTTGGTGTCATCTGCCTCGCCATCCAACCCAGCTCGAGCCAATTCGTCCACCAACCCAGACCAGGCAAGTTGGATATGTGCCCGATGCGTCGTCAACTTCTGTTGGCCATTGACCGCATCCCCGTGCCATGACTCATGGACTGACAAGGTATCCGCCCTCTCTCGGCTCTATCACGGCCCAGCCATGGATAATAGTGGAGGCCCTCAACTGCACCTTGTCTGGCCTGGTCCGACGACGGACAGACTTTGCCGCATCAATGCATTACGTGAACACGCTCCCGACTCCCCACGAAACAACAGCCGGACATGGGCGCATCACGGTGCCTATTCGGGCCTATAGAGTCAATCTCTGATTTTACCCGAAACATTGAAACTGCCACCACGTGCGCCCGTGCCATTTGGGCGGTAGCCGCTCCCGTTCCGCCAGTGTTTGCCTGTTCGGCACAAGGCCCCTTGCGCCACCCTGCACCAACATATTAACCTTGCAGCTTCTGAGTTCTCAAACCCCTACCCGCTTGCTATAGGGTGATGCAGCTCTCGGTATGGCCGAGAATTCTAAAGAACCAGCCCATGGATGGCCGTGTGCAAGACTAACTTTCGGTCCATCAACTCCCTCAAAATCATCAGTGGCTTCTTGGTTCTGCCGTTTGATTCCAATTCCACGTCGCATGTACACCGCGACATCTGGCAAATGGAAACAATACACCTGATGGCATAATATAATATTGTTAAAAGTACAAAGTAATATATTCCTTTTAGACACTACTGCTAAAAATAGAGTACAAAAGAATAGTGAAAGGGCTCGTCCCATTGATACACTGCTAAAAATAAACTACAGAAGAATAGTGAAATGGCCCCTCCCATCGACACATCCCCCCAGAGCTCAAGTCCATCTCGCTCATTGGACAGCCGTCTGATTGTAGTACAAGTCGCACGCATGAGGATGCTGCAAGCAGTACTTGGGCACCAGAGGGGCGGCCCCAATGCCATTGGCAACAAGGTACTCCCTAAAGTTGAGAATGCGTTGCGTCAAATACGTCGTTCGCTTGAGGCCAGTCTTGGGGTCCTTGTTGCCAGACCAAACCAACTCGGCGAGTGCAGCGGCCCGCGGCCACATCTTGGAGCTGATGACGGCGTCGTCGACTTGTTCGGACCACAGTGGCGCGGCGGCACCGATGATGTGCTTGGCTTGGTCAGAAGTGAGGTTCGCCGTGAAGTCGTAGTCGTAAATGCGCTGCCACGTCTTGTACGGCGCACACCACGAGCCGCCGGGGCCGCCGTAGTTGAAGGAAAAGGTCGCGCCGGTAGCATCAGGGTTCGACTGCGGCGCGTTGTAACGAGGATCGTTGGTCACGTACCCGCCATTCCCACAATCGAGATACATAAAGTCGGCGCTGGACACAATCACGTCGTAGCCGGCCTTGGTGAGCTTATCAATGTTGGCAACGCCATTGTTCCAGGACTGCATGATGACGCTCTTGGACACATTGTGCGCGTGGGCGTCGGGAGAGAGGACGACATCCTCCCACATGATGAGTCGGCGGTCCTTCTTGCCACTGTTCTCCTCCGACATGAACAATGGGTATGCGTGGTCGATCCAGTACTGGTTGAGGTCAAAGTAGGTGCGCTTGGGGTCGGCGGCGAACCAATCCCTGATGCCCTTGCTAAAGTTGAAACAGCCAATCTGGAGCTCGTCACCTCCCACGTGGAAGAAGTCGTCCGAGAACTTCTTGGACAGCTCCGAGTAGACGTTGCCGACAACCTGGTACGTCTTGGGGTTCATGACGTCGAGCTGTCCCGGGTTGGGCTGCACGGCCGTGTGCAACGGCCAGTTGTCGTTGGACCACCAACTATTCTGGCACGTCACAATGTCCTTGTCGATTTGCTGCCACCCCGAGGCAGAGTGGCCGGGCATGTCGATTTCGGGAATGACGCGCACGCCGCGAGCGCGAGCATACGAGATGATGTCCTGCACATCCTTGGCCGAGTAGCTCTCGCGGCCAGAGTAGGCATCCTTGGTCACCTGGGGGTAGGCCTCGAGGTGGATGGGCCACGACTGGGTGTCGGTGATGTGCCAGTGGAGGATATTCATCTTGGACAAGGCAAGTCCGTCAATCTGTTCCTTGATCTTGTTGGCGGAAATAAAGTTTCGGCCCGTGTCGACCATGACACCTCGGTACGGGTAGTTGGGGTGATCTTTGATGGTGACGGGCTGCTCAACAATCAGGGACCCGCCCTCGAAGATGACGAGTTGCTGGAAGGTGGTGAAGGCATGAAGGGCACCCCAGACTGTCTTTGCCGCGATTTCAACAGTCGAAGACGAAGCAGACACGGTGAGGGTATAGCTCTCGTCGACGCCGTGCTTCAAATCGGCGGACCAGTCGGACACCTGTACGTTGACCTCGTTGAGCCAGCTACCGCCCGTGTTTCGCTTCGACTTGGCGCTGCTGCTGCTGTCGTTGCTGCCAGCGGTGGGAAAGGGTTCGAACTTGGGGATGGGCTGCTCAATGGCCTGCGGCACCCATCGCAGCGAGGTGATGGCCTTGGAGGCGCGGTTCCAAGCCTCGGAGACGAGTTGGGTGTTGGACTCGGACTTGCGATTCGAATTGGTACGCAGGTTCAGCCAGCCGACATGTTTGGGACCAGAGTCACCCCAGGTCACGTCCTGAGGCGCGGGAAGCGGGTTGACCTTGACGGTGACGGCAGAGGTCAACTCGACCGTCGCCAAGGCGGCGAGGAGGGCAGATGTGTAGAAGCGCATGTTGAGACGAGATTTGCCAACGGATTGTGACGTGGTGTCAAGGGAGGAAGTTAACGAGGGTGCCTTGGCGACGCGTACACAATCAAAGGTGCCGAACAAAGGGCACACACGGACCGTGAATCACGAGCCTGGAGAGAGCTGCTGGTGTTGCCAAACATCAATGAAAGGACGGGCGGTTGGAGGGGCCAACTCGGTGCCTTTTGTACGAAACCAGACGAGATTGGATCCAAGGTCTTGCCTCCAAAGCAAGTGGCTGCAAGCGTCTTTGAGACATTGGATTGGACCAGGTGGGTTGTGTCCAGGGACCTCAAAGAACCATGGCGAACGTGTGCGTGAGGACAAAAATTGGATGGAGAGGGACTGGAAGCATGAGAGGGACCAGTTCAATGTTGACCATGGAAATGTAACCCCACCAGCAGTAGAGTGGACTGGACTGGAAGTAGTATTGATGCAGGCCAGCAAGCCAAGACGCCGCAGCTGAAGCTCCCGCGCGGCAGGTGCAGACTTGGCTCTTGCCGGCGAGGCGTGTCTGGTCTGGTGGTACATGTCTACTGGTAGCTTGTAGCGTAGCCGCTTTATGTAGCATTGAGTCCATGGCTTTAATGTTCCAGACGTCTTCTTTGTGAGGCAGAGTGGAATGGGGTCCTTGCGCGCCTGCAATCAAAGCAAAAGCACCAGACTTTTGACCATGGCCAGGAACCGGCAGAAGGAGCCCATGAACACCTTGCGGAGACAAAAGATATTGGACGGGGAGATGCAATGCAACCCAACCAGGAGGTCCCATGAAGGGCAGGACCTGCCACTGCGTGCGGCAATTTGCGGAACCAGACTGAAGGTATCGCATTAATGTTTCATGCCAGCCGACGTCTGTTCATGCGCGGGCTTGGCATGAACACAAGGCTGAGGGACATTTGCTATGTCGCTGACGGGTAGATATCAATCAGGGCACCTCGACATCTCTGTGTTCAACCGTCGTGCACATCATTGATCAATTGATGTCACCACATGTGCAGGTGGCTTGCTGCACATGGCCAGCTGTTAAGCCAATTGTTCCCCCACCATTTTTGCCCCGTCGAACATTGAACTTGACCCTTCAATGTTCACATTTCCCCCCCTCCTTTGACGGGCTTCATCCTCACCTTTTCAATGCATTCCGTCCGCAGAATCGGACTCCATGTCGGTCGCCCATCTCCAACAACAATCCGCCAGCAGTCCTACGCCTCAACCGCGGCCTGACATCCACCGATGGCTGTGGCTTCAGCTGCCCGCGCCGATGCTTCCATGTTGCCTGCCACAGCTGCGCGATGCATCTAGGCAATTTCCCCGCATTGCGACGTTAACGTTACCTCGACATTGAATCCATTGTCCCATCAATGATGTCTTCGACGCCACGGTCCAGCACAACTTCAATTCTGTTCTTCTTCTTCTTTTTCAGCCCTTGCGTCACGTCACATGGTGATTTTGCGTCAAAGCTGGGCACATGAGGCGTCTTTGGAGAAGACAAAAGTCATCCGTATTCCCTGCTGGTGTGATGTGTTTTTACCAACATGACGAGAGGTTCTGTCTCGCATGTGGCCGTAATTGGCGTGAGACATTTGCTCCGCATCTAGTCAAGATCCGAATCCTTGGCCATGTTTTCGTAAACACGGCTTGACACATGGTCTCAACCGCCAACGTTGCCTGCCGTCTTGTTTCCCGTGGTTGGGGGTAAATTGACCTGCCGTGGACGGGCATCTGGAGCGACTCGGGAAGATCTGTCAGGCATTGGATAAAAGGAACTGCAACCTTGGCTTGCTCTATGCCGGTCTCGCGACTGTTCTGCATTGGGCAGGTTGAACATGGACGCGTTGGCTTGCGAAAACAGCACAAGACGCGACAACTCCGTCTGCTCTCACATTGGACGCAGAAAGGCCGCAATTCCTCATGTTCAGGGGCATGATCGCATTTGACCCCAGAATACATACGATCCGTCGGCTTTCGGCACGTCGGTATCATCTGACGACGTTCTCCCTGCCAGAGTTCCTCAACCCCGCGCCTCGACGTCGATGCCGATGCCTCGGTATCTTCCTCTCTCCTCCATCACCCCACACCCCAACAAGCCGTGAGCCCCCCCTCCCGTCTCGGAACGATTATCCGCCCGCTGGGGCCGTGTCACATTGGCGCCGCAAATGTCATGGATAGTACCAGTTGACATGTTGTATAGATATAAGCTGCGAATCCACTTGACTGCGTATACATGTTTTTCCCTTTATATACGCCGCAAATCATCCTGTGCTGTCTTTCAAGGCTAAACTCCCCGACTGACCCATCACAAAACAAGACGACAGACCAGACGACAGACACCATGGCGCCAAAAGGGCCCATTACAACGCCCTTCACCCAACTCTTGGGCATCCAACACCCCGTGGTTCTAGCCGGCATGGCCCATACTTCCGGAGGCGAGCTTTCTGCTGCCGTCTCCAATGCTGGCGGGCTGGGAGTCATTGGTGGTTTGCAGTACTCGCCCGACCAGCTTCGGGACATCATCGCCGAAATGAAGGCCGCCTTCAAGCAGCCAGATCTGCCCTTTGGTATTGACCTCGCGCTTCCGCAGGTCGGCGGCAACGCACGGAAAACAAACCACGACTACACCCACGGGAAGCTCGAGGAGCTCATTGACCTGACCATTGAGAGCGGCGCCAAACTTTTCGTGTGCGCAATCGGCGTGCCGCCCAAGCACATCATCGAAAAGCTGCACAAGAACGGCATTCTCGTCATGAACATGGTGGGCCACCCCAAGCACGCCGTCAAAGCCCTCGATCTCGGCGTCGACATGGTGTGCGCCCAGGGCACCGAGGCCGGCGGGCATACCGGCGAAATTGCAAGCTCGGTCCTTGTGCCTGCCGTCGTGGACGTGGCCCGACGTTACAAGCCGCCGATGCTCAAGGGTTCTACCGCCTTGGTCCTCGCCGCCGGCGGCATCTGCAACGGTCGGGGTGTTGCCGCCGCTCTGATGCAGGGCGCCTCTGCCGTGTGGGTTGGAACCCGCTTCGTGGCCTCGGTGGAAGCCAACAGCAGCAACGAGCACAAGCAGGCCGTCGTGGACTGCGACTTTACAGGCACGGAGCGAACGCTAGTCTTGTCCGGAAGACCCCTGAGGATGATGCCCAACGACTACATTCGGCGGTGGAACAAGAACCCCCAGGAGATACAGAGCCTTTGCGACCGCGGCATCGTCCCCGTGCAGCATGACCTGGAAAACGGCGCAGAGGACATCGACGTGCCTCACTTCATGGGCCAGGTGGCGGGTTCCATTCAGCGCATTCAGCCGGCGGGCGAGATTGTTCATGAGCTTGTCGAGGAAGCCGCCGATATGCTGCGGACCGGGGGGACGTACCTTGATGGGGGTAGTAAGCTGTAGACTCGGCCGCAAGTAAACCGCTGATTCGGAATCTTGGGTACACTGGGCGCCATGTAAGAATAGACTTGGATCAGAGACGCGCAAATAGGCACATGTAAACATCCGAAAAACAGACGGTGACCAAACGTTGCTGCTTGGCAATACCCCTTGACCGGCATCTTGCCATCAAGTGGCCTGTGATTGTGATGACACCATCGCTGGTGATTTTGCCCACGACGCAATTATTCCTGCCAGATGACTCTTTGCAAGTGAGAAGCTGGCATGGCCTGACATAACACGCGGGACAGGGCGTAGCCCCTTAATTATTCTCAGTTAAATTATACTCTATTTTACCATCAACTAACTATACCTGTTACACGGAAATGGCCTGTTGCACAAGGGCTACGATCACGGGACCTAGGGCAAAGTCCATTACCGACTTCTTGTATTTAAAGATGTCTTTGGCCACCAAGGCCTTGAGGAAAAGCAAGGACCTCTGATACCAAAGACTGTTGTTATTAGATGAATTGAGCTATTTGCTCCAAGCCCTCTATAGAGCCCTTGTCACATGTCTGACAAGTTGAATATCTCTTCTTGCTTGTCAGATTTGACCTCTTATAAGGCGTCATTGTCACGTGGTTTACTTGTGTTGACTGGCTCGTAATAAGAAACTAATATTACTATTAGGCCCCGAGATTGGGTATTTGGGTTGTATGTGGAAGCTGCTCGCATCTAGCAGGCCGGATTTGACCTCTTTTTGTAGAGCCTTTTCGCCAGTATTAACTAGAAACATTGAATGGCACAATCACACACAACGCACAAAGCGTCCCTTCCAGGACAATTACCGAGGCAAGAGGAGCGATGCTTATCGTATTGACATGTCTTGGATAGAATATAGTTAAGATTAAGGTCCTCTGAATCTCAGTTCGGAGTTACTATTTAAATAAATACATAAGTTATTTATATCCCATTTTGATAACTTAACTGGGACCAATAATTTAATTTCGTCCTCTATTCTGGTTGCTTTTCTCGTTTATTCGATTTCTGTAAAGAGAATACCGTGTAGTCAATGCCAAATAAAATCACACCAGGAACAAGGAAGTGGCGCACCTCCCTACGCGTGCATGCGATTGACTCCTACATCCCCTTCACTATCCATCCCTCTACATAACTGATAGGCATGACAATCTACTATAATACTTGTCCTTAAGTTGCGCTGCCTAAAGACGGAGCCATGTAGTGACTGCCACATTCATTGATGCATTGTCTAGAATGTAAATGAAATGCCCGGTCTAGATGCCTAATACGACATGAAGAGAAATAGAGGGAGACCTACACAAACAGGAGTGCCTTCGCTCTTGGTAACATTAAGTGCCGCGCCACGCCCACTATGCAGGATATCCCATTGATGTACACTGATTTCAGGGCAAGTCAATACAAAGTCTGCGACCGTCTGCTACGTGTCTAGCTTCTCCGTCGCGGACAACACTTTTCCGATTCTATGTGTCTCAAAACCGCCGTCGTTCGGCCTAAGAAATAGGCCGAGGCAGGACATGAGTCTCACCGATGCTACAAAGCTCGCATGTCCGGGACAGCCTAGTTTTCCGATCGTCATCTGCCGCGCCTTTGTCAGTTGGACTACTGGGAGACGCCTAACCTTAATTGTACACGCTCTTTGACCTTAGTCTAAGCGAGTCTCTAAGCGAGGTGGAGTGCAAAATAGGGAAGCGCGGCTATGTCAGCCATTGGATTGGGTACATAATGTCAATCGCATAAGGTTTATGCCAGAACAAGCAAAAGAAACCATTTGAAAGCAACGCTAGTCTTTCCAGCCGCACGGTTTCTACACGCATTAGTATCAACTCTGCCAAGGTACAGAGCCGCACAGACGCTATCCACGACTGGCTCATTGCAAATGTTGCATTTGCTCCACGCGATCACACAGCAAAACCTCTGACTTGTCATCTTGATTCTCCCATCATAGTCAATCTTGCTCAACAAAGCAGGGCCCACAGCAACTAAGCAAATATAATACATCGGTAAGGTGAGACATTTAGAGCCCTGCAGTGTAGAATCAGGTCCCCGTGCTAACACAATATGCCCCCTGGAGTCCTGGACTTGGATAGTTACTAGCACTGGTAATAATGTATAAATATTCACAAGGACCTCATCATGGCGAATCCTCTCCAAATAGCAACACAATATAATTCTCTAGATTCCATTTTGGAGTGTCCTATCTCACTATTTGATGTCCACAGACAAGTATCGAGTTCTGATATACACCCCAAGACACGGATAATCTTGTAACGATGCGCGTCTTGTGGCTAGCTACGGCACTTTACACGCTCACAGAGGCAGCGGCTCTGACACCCGAGACCAAAGCAGTTTGCTCGGGGCTGCATGCC